CCACATGATGGTTCATGATGGACCTGAAGGTCTTCCCTGGCCCAGCGGCAAGGGAGACTTCAGTGGAAAGTGGGGAGTATGTCCTGCACACCAGGATGCACAAGGAAGAGCAGAAGCAAGCTTTAAAAGGCCCAAAGCCCAAAGGCAGGGGCAAAGGCCCACCAGGAGAGAAGGAAGAACAGGCCGGTGTGGCTGTACCTGGGGGCTGGTGGCAGACAGAGTGGTCAGGGCCAGGCAGTCCACATTCTTGTATCCTTAGCTGGGTGAGCACAGGTGCACCCTGGACCTCCTGGTGCCTGGATTCCTTCTTAGGTGAGAATAATAACATAACAGATCTGCTTGGGAGGGCGGAGTCAAACAAGAGCCGGAAAGTGTGGCCTTTCCTGCTATTGAGGTACAGACAGGAGACCCACCCACAGGGAAGGAAGGTATCCCACCCCACCTGGCCTGAGGCTGGAATTTGAGAGACAAGCTACAGACAAAGATGTAGGCTGAAGATGGACAAGAGACTCAAAGATGAAAGCGAGGGATGGAAAGACAAACTGAAGACTCAAAGATGAAGGCTGAGAAAGGAGCTCAGAGGAAGAGTGCTTACCTAGCAGGAAAGAGGCCCTCACAGTAGGGAATCTCAAGGCCACAAAGATCCAACTCTTGACAGTGCTTCTAAAGGGCAACACAGTTTGCACCTGTGCCCTGGAACTAATGGGCACCCCTCTCCTCCAGCCTGACATCTGCACTACTTTCTCTAAGGAACATTTATTGAGCAGTGGCAAAGCCAGATGTGTGTGTGTGTGTGTGTGTCCCTCACACAATTGGAGAAAGAGTAGTTATACAAAACTTTCCAAGTGTGAGGCCCTGCATTCAAACCCCAGTACCACCACCAAACAAATAAATGCATAAATCAATAATCCACACTTTACATATGCAAAGCCAAACCCTAAGACTTTGCATAATGAGCAGTGGGTTTTCTAATGTCTCCCTACTGAGGAAGATGTTCAAAGGGCAAGCTGAGGCAAATGCATGTGCACATGCACACTCTCTCTCTCTCTCTCTCTTTCTGCTGAGAGTTTAACCACGACTCCCCTGAACCTCTAATCCTGCCCCTCAGCCCTCCCCCTCCCCAATGCACAGCCTCTCCCCAGCATTCCCTGCACAACCTGCAGACCTGGCCTCCAGCTCTGGTTTACAGCCCCAGCCCTATCCCTTCTTCCTGGAGACACTGGCTCTGGCTTTGTAGGCCTTTCACTGTCGCAGGGATCCAGAGACTCCCCGAGGGAGGGCAAGGCCTGCCAAAACATTACAAAAAAGCTTGTCTACCCCACATCCCCAGGAACTCAGAATTAGCTAGTCTGGAATAAGATCTTGCTGCTGGATTAAAAACAAAAAAAACCTCCACAAATGCTGGGCATGGTGGGATGTACCTATATAATTCCAGTTACTTAAGAAGCTGAGGCAGGGTGAACTTGGTTCTACATTGAGAGACCCTGTATCATAAAACAACAAAAACTCCAGGCACAGGGGCTCATATCTGTAATCCTAGCTACTTGGAGAGCCTTGGTCACAAGATTCCATCTCAGTGGAGAAAGTTAATGTGTGGCTATCATCCCAGAAACAAGTGGAAAGAGAAATCACCAGAGGAAAAAAGGGCTGGAGGCATGGCTCAAGTGGTAAAGTACCTACCTTGCAAGCACAAGGTGCAGAGTTCAAACCCCAGAAACACACACACACACACACACACAATTCTACAAGTGATTCTAAAGCAAGATGAGAGTGGTCATGCACAGTTGCTCACAAGCTTGGTAGGAAGGTAGAGTCTCAGGTTCCCTGCTGAAGACCCAAGAGCCCCTCAGGTCTGAGAAGCACTGGGAGGACTGGGAGGGGAGCACAGGCCTGAGGTAAGGGATGTGGAGACCCCAAGTCCCTCCACACAGCACGCAGAGGTGGGGCAGGTCTGCCCTGCACCCCCTCCTCGGATCCTCGCCCCGTCCTACAAGGGGGGTCTGGAAAGCTCCTCCTGACCCCACCAAAAAACTGGGGCTGGGGCAGAGGTTCAACTTGACCAGACCCTTCTCTTGCCCCTCGTGGGCCTGGCTCTGACACAGCCTGATTCCTTCCCGACCTTCATCCCTGTGTGTCCTCAGGGGAAAGGAGGGGCGTGGAGGTTCAGGGGAGAAGTGACAAATGAGGAATCTGGGGTCCAGGGTGGAGGCACGAGAGCAGAATGTTTCACCAGACAGAAACTGCCCCCTCTGGGAAGTGAGGGGTTAAGTGCCACTGCTGACCTCAGGCACCTCTGCCTGTAGGGATTTGACTGACACATCTCATGCCTCCCCCTCCTCCCCCTTCCCCTCTTCCTCCTCCCCCTCCTCCTCCTCCTCTTCTCTTCTTCCCCCTCCTCCTCCTCCTCCTCTTCTCCTCTTCCCCCTCCTCCTCCTTCTCCTCCTCTTCTTCCTCCTCCTCCTTCTCTTCCTCCCACGTAAGAAAATCTGGGACCAGCCTGAAAGGAGTCCAGAGGATCCCAGAAAACCTTGTGACTCCCAAAGGGCCTCTTGTCCATGGGAGAAAGCTAGAGTCCCACTGCACTCCAGCTGGGCACAAAGCACCCCCCCATTGTGACCTGGGCCTTGTCACAGGACATCTTAATGTGGGTTGAGGAGGGGGACAGGTGCCATCCTGGGGGAGGGCCAGAATGGGGGGAAGCGGCCCCTCCCACTCCAAGTGGCCCCTCCAGAAAAGAGCATTCTGCAAGGAGCAAGGCCTGGGGTCTTCAGATGGAGACCTCCAAGGCCTCCAAGGCCCCTGCTCTGCAGGGCTGAATGGGAAGGAGGTCTTCACCCTCCCCTGCTAGAGAAAACTGGGCTCCTCTGGGATGGACTGATGGGATCCCAGTTGTCAGCCTGGTGGGCAGGGATGTGTTCACAGTGGGGGACCCTCACTGGAATATAGGCCTCTCTGTACCCCTGCAGGCCTCCCTGCCTCTACAGCACCTGTGGGCAGAGAGCCCAAGCACAGCACACAGGACAGCAGGTGCAGGGATGAAGCCAGAGAGAGAGAGGGCATAGCCAGGCTGGCACGGCTTCTCTGCACACCCGTATGCCCACTTCTGCTCCCACCCTGCTGGCAGCGGGGGGCCAATGAGGGAGGGGGCAGGGCATTGGCCAGAGGAGCTGCCGAGAGACCCTGCTCTGGATTTCTCACCCCGGCCCTCGCCCCCCACAGCACCCCTCCCTGCCCCAAGGGGTCTCAAGTCCAGTTACAGCCACAGCAGAGAGTGAGGAGGTGCTGCTCTCCAAGAGGAGGGATCAAAGGGGAGCGAGATGAGCGGGGACCCACCGAAAGAGAGATGCTGGGCAGGCGGGCAGCGGGCGAGCAGCAACGGGCGTTGGAGCCGCCAGGATTCGACTGGCTGGATGCTCGTCCCTCCGTCCCTCTGTCCATCTAGGGCGGCTCCTGTCCAGGCGCTTCTGAGGCCAGGCGGGCGCTGTTAAAAAGCTTTTTATGTGTGTGTGTGTTAATCACATGATTGCCGTTCACCTGTATTTCGAACAAAGACAGCTCACTGTTTCAAGGCCCCGAACAAGAGTCTGGGCACAGGGAAGAGAAGGGAGGCGGGGGGAGGAGGGTTGGCAGCGCCGGGGGTGGCGTCGAGGAAAACTGGGGGGAGATTGTCCAAGGCTAGCAAGCGAGAGAAAGAGAAAACCCTTATCAAACTCCTAATTCACTGGACTCCGCAGCCCCAGACACACTGGCCCAATTGTCTGGCTGCTTGTGTGCGCGAGCATGTGTGTGTGTGTGTATGTGTGTGTGTGTTCCAGTGTCCGCCACCCCCCCCCAACATGCCTTCACCTCGTGTGACTACCTCATTGTGTCCAATTACCCAACCCCCTTTACCCCCCAGCCTTCCCAAATATGAGGCCTTATGGCTCCAGACCCCTTGTTCCAACCCCACTCCTGGCAGGACCCCTTTAGAGGGGGCCTGGGGCCTTGCCCAGCTGCAGAGGGACTGAGAGCTATGCAGTCACCACCATAGAGCAGGCCCCTGCGTGTGTCCCCTCCATATACCCCACCTCTGCCTAGCTGGCTAAGCAAGTAGGGCTGCCCTGGCTGAGAAGGGAAAGGGTCTGTGACCTTTGGAGATGAAGGGCAGCAGCGGTGGGGGGAAGGAGGGGGGCAAGGAAGGGTTGGAGAAGGGGCAGCAGGGAGGAGAGTTTGAACCAAGGTGGCTCTCACCTGTTCTCAGGATTGGGAAGTGGGGAATGAGGGGACACCCAAGATCAGGACTCCCCAGTGTGGAGAAGGTTGGATCCCAGAAAGGACAGTGAAGGCCTCAGCCCTACATGAAAAGGATCCTCCCCCCACCTCGCCTCCTATGGGACACCCCCCCCTTAGGCCAGCCCAGCTGGAGAGCCAGGACCAGGGGCTAAGCTGGAGCATCTGCACTGGCCGAGGGAGTCCAACCGTGTGCTTTCTTCCCCAGGTAAGGACCACAGTCCCTCTTGCTGTATAGGCTGAAGCAGAGAAGGTATGGGAGAGGCAGCGTGAGATAGGCAGGCAGTGGTGCCTGGCACCCAGTAGGCACTTGATACAACTTCCTAGATGAATCAACACCGGCTGCCACCTTCCCAGGTGGACCAGACCTTCGCCCATCCCTTCCCATCCTTTGTCCCCTGCCCATCCCGACACCTGAGGCAGAGATCCAGGCCCCAGATGGGCCTCATCCTCCTCACTGCTGCCTGCATCTCTCCCTTCCGTGACCTAAGCACCCCAACTCTACGCCTATCCGGGGGACCCAAGCTAAGCCCAAGGAGAAGGGTTTGGACGGGACAGTGGGGATCAGGGCTGGGGGGCCTGGGTGGGGTAGAGGAGCCCAGGGTGCTGGGGATGAAGGCAGCGCTGGAGGCTCCACCTTCTGCCCTTCCCTCCCTCCTCTCCCCTCCCCTCCCCCCTTCCTTCCCCAGCCCTCTGCAGCCGCTCAGTAGCTCAGTCAGTCTCAGGCTGTCCGGCCAGGGTGGTTGGTGGTGAAGATTGAAGCTCCGTCCCAGCGAGGCCAAGGCGGTGGCCTGAGGTTCAGGGCCCCCCCGGCCCCTCCCTCCCAGCCCACCGGTCACCTCCCAGCCCCCGAGCTGGACCGCACACCTTGGGACTCCGTTTTCCACTTCCTCAGGACGAGCCCCAGGCTGGAGGAGAGGCCTGAGGAGGTGAGTGCGCAGCCCAGCCAGCTCCTCCCAGCTGACCAGGCCTGGGCCCCCACTTATGGGGAAGGGGAGGTGACACCCCGCTGTGCCCCCCACCCAGCTTCTCCAAACTCCTGGGGCGCGGGGCTGGCGGCAGAGGGGAAGGAGGAGAGGTGAGAGACAAGGTGGGAAATTCCAGGGGCCGGGATTAGAGCAGAATAAAGGGTCCGTTTTTCTTCCTTTCCATCAACAAACCTCCACCCAAAAGGAGGCTTTAAAACACACACACACACATACACACCCCACCACAGCCAGAGACGGGTGGGACGGGGTGGGCAGATGCCCGGGCGGGACGCGCCCCCCTAGGGTCGGGGCACGTGCACGGGCCGGGCCGGGCCGGCGGGCGCCACCGCGGGCTCCGGCTCCGTCGCCCTCACCGGGCTGTGTCGCGTCCTCCTTCCCGTCCAGGTGGGCGTTGGGCTCTTTGCGAGGACCCCCGCGGCTGGCCCCGGGGAGGCGGCCGAGGCGGCGGCCGGGGGTGACATGGCGGAGGAGCAGGACCTGTCGGAGGTGGAGCTGAGCCCCGTGGGCTCGGAGGAGCCCCGCTGCCTGTCCCCGGGCAGCGCGCCCTCGCTGGGCCCCGACGGCGGCGGCGGCGGCGGCGCGGGCCTGCGAGCCAGCCCCGGCCCCGGGGAGCTGGGCAAGGTCAAGAAGGAGCAGCAGGACGGCGGAGAGGCGGACGATGACAAGTTCCCGGTGTGCATCCGCGAGGCGGTCAGCCAGGTGCTCAGCGGCTACGACTGGACGCTGGTGCCCATGCCCGTGCGCGTCAACGGCGCCAGCAAGAGCAAGCCGCACGTGAAGCGGCCCATGAACGCCTTCATGGTGTGGGCGCAGCGGCGCGCAGAAGCTGGCCGACCAGTACCCGCACCTGCACAACGCCGAGCTCAGCAGACACTGGCAAACTCTGGAGTGAGCCGGGTCCCAGAGAGGTTGCAGGACAGCCTGGGGACCCCCTCCCACCCCCCAAGCGGAACAGCCTGGAGCTCCTCCAAAGCAGGATGGCCTCCCAGGGGAAGGCACTTCTTGGCATGACCAGGTGTGGGGGCCCTGCCTGCCCATCTGCCACCAGGGGCCTGGTGGGGCTGAGCTCGCTGCTGCTTACCCTTGAACTCCCAACTCCTGTGGCGGTGTAGGCCTGGCCTCCCCACGCTGGTGAGGGGGGGCAGAAAGCGCCCCCGCGTGGTGGGAATCCGGTGCATCGAGGGCCACAAGGGCCACAGGAGATGGTGGCAGGGGGAAGGTGGGTTGATGGAGGCTTCACTGACTCATTCCACATTCACACACAAGTACCAGGGTGCCACCACCAGTTCCAGTGCTCAGGAGGGTGGGATAAAACTGAAGGCCTTGGCCAGAGACTTTGAGAAACTGAGGCAGCCAGATGGAGAATCCAGGGGAGAGTGTGTGGGGGGGGGGGGGGGGGGGGGGGGGTGAAATGCACTTCCTGCAACCACAGGGTCCCTGTCCCAACTGTCTCCCCAGGCTTCTCTAACCCCACCCTCTGTCCCCAATTCCCCTCCCACCCTGTCCCAGTCTCTCTCCGAGGCTGGCGCCATCTTCTCTCCCAGGGCTCCACCCAGCATTTAGCAATGTCTTCCCCTTCAACCCTGGTTGTAGCCGAGCAACCTGGCCAGGAGGAAGCTGCCTTTCTTGCCCAGGGTCCCCCCAACTCCCAGGCTGTCTGAGACCAGCTGAAACCTTTGGGGGTAACAAACCCCTAAGAAGGAAGCCTCCAACCCTTGCCCCTGGGGCTCACCTGGCCCTTGGCAAATGTGTGAAGCCGGGTATCTCCCACCCAAATCCAGGAGCCCCAGGGCAGCTCCCAGAGGGAACAAGGACTCCAGCAGATGCCAGCCTAAAGAGGTCGCCTGATCTCTACTACTGGCCAGAAAGGCTCTGCAAAGGTCACCTAGCAGTTGGTACCAGAGCCAAACCCAAATCTCCCAATTTGCTGCCAGAGGTCATCTCCACATTGTCCCTCCCTGGTGACAGTGGTCGGCCACCCTTTGCTCTCGAGTGGTCTGGAAATGGTGAGGCAAGCAGAGAGGAGTAGTGGTGCTTCTGGGCTTTGGGAAGTCCAGGGTCTGCTGGAGGAGTTGGTTTCCACCCACTCCAAACACCCCCTGCAGGCCCAACTTGAAGACCAAGAGCTTAAAGTAGTGTGAAAGGAACAGAAGGGTTCCCAAGAGACTGAGATCTGCACCCCCTTTCGTCCTCCCCCACCCCCAGCACTTCCAGCCCTCAGCCCTCTGGGTTCACCATGGGCAGGCTAAGACTGAACCACCAGCTACCCATGGGCCCTGGAGCAGAGCTGGCAGCCAGTTCCTCTAACCAGGGTCTGTCCAGGTCCCAGTAGGGCTCAGTCAGGCCAGTGCCTTTTGGCTGTCGGACAAAATAATAATAACAACAACAATAAGGTCCATGAGTGAGCAGACTGATGAGAGATAAAACAAAGATAGACTCCCCGGGGCTCCATTGTCAAGGTTTAAGAGAGGCCCCTCCATTGTCCCCACCCCAGTTCTACCACCAAGAACCCTCCAGCAGGACTTACTCCTGGCCAGTACTCAGGCTATGTCCATAGGGGTACCTAGGGCAGGCAGGAAAGCAGGCTGTGCTAGCAGAGGACCCCACCTGAGCGGTGGGAAATGACGGGACAATGGCAAGGCTCTCCTCTGGAAAGGGGATGACTGGGTGGACAGAAGAACAGGAGTCCTAATAGAGAAATCAGAGGGCAGAGCTGGGGTGCCAGAGCAAGTCTGCTGTCAGGTCCTCCGTGGGCTCCTGAAGCCCACTAGAGGCCAGCTGAGGAAGATGGAGATGCTCATTACATGGGTGGCTACACGTTGGTTGATTCACCTGGAAAGAACAATTGGAGCCAAGAAGCTAAAGCCAGGAAGGTGTCAGGCTGGAGGTTCTCCCATCCCCAGTCCCACAAGCCCAGCCTAGGAGGGGCATTTTAATGCTGTTGGTTTGCAGCCAGTGGCCCGCCCACCAGAAGAAGTCCCCTTTTCCTTCTTGGTCCTTTTCTTTTCTTTTCCTTTTGTCAGTTGTGGGACTTGAACTCTGGGCCTGGGCACTGTCCCTCAGCTCTTCAGCTCAAGGCTCACACTCTACCACTTAAGCCACAGCACGACTTCTGGCTTTTTTTTTCTGTTTATGTGGTGCTGAGGAACTGAACCCAGAGCCTCAGGCATTCAAGGCAAGCGCTCTACCACTGAGCCTCCTTGCTAGCCCCTCTTGGGGCTTCTCCACTCCTGAGAGCGGGGAAAAGATTCCATGGGGGCAGAGCAGTGAGTGCAGCATTGGAATCGAGTTTAGCTGGGAGACTGGTTTCTTCAGGTGGGGTCGGGTGAGGAGAGACTCTGGTCCAGGGTAGGGTGGGGGCAGAAGTGGGATTCACTGTTGGCAGCTGGTGGGGATGGAACTGAGGTTAGTTGGGGGAGCAGAAGCAGTGGTGAACCCTGACTTGGGTTCTTTTTGTTGTTATTGTTGGTTGTGGGGCTTGAACTCAGGGCCTGGGTGCTATATCTGAGCTTTTTTGCTCAAAGCTAGTGTTCCACCACTTGAACCATAGCTCCACTTCTGGCTTTTTGGTGATTAATTGGAGAAAACGATCTCATGGATTTTTTTGCCTGGGTTGGCTTTGAACCATGATCCTCAGAGCTCAGCTTCCTAAATAGGTAGGATGACAGGTACGAGCTGGGGTTCTTTTCCCAGTTATGTGTCTTACTGCTGAGGACTAGCTTCAGAACTCACAGTGGAATCAAGTTTTGAAATTCTCCCTCTTCTGGCCAAAGCACCCCCTGCCATTTTCTTGCTGACTGCTGATTACCAGCTGGCAGAGAACCCAGGCTATGGTTAGAGCCAGAGTTCAGTGACTAGCCACCCAGAAGCCTCTAGGCTGGGGCTTGCAGCCGGTGAGGTACTGACCCTGGCAGCGTCTTGCTCAGCTACAGGGTCCCTTGGAGAATGCTGGGTGGGCAGGGGCTCACTGGGAGGCTAAGCTGCAGAGGAATGCTGCTGCTGGCTAGGAGGTGGTGCCTGGCATGACCACCCACTCCCACCTCAGCCTCTGCCACTTGGACATGCAGGGTGGGGCCACTGGAGGGAAGAGGCCTTCCAGAGAGGGCCAGGGCTGCTCCTATGAAGACTAGCAGACTTCACATCCCAATCTCTGCTTTCCCCTCTGCCCATTCTGCCCACTTCACCCTGGGGCAGCCAATCCTGGCCTGAGGCTGGCGTCAGGTGGGTGGGGCCCTCTGTCAGGGCTTCCTCCCACCACCCTTGGTCATGGGACTGTCCCAAGGTCTGGAAAGGGTCCTGTGCACCCTCTAACTTTTGCTTAACCCAGGTTTTTGGGATCTTTCTCCACCAGACAATGTTCCTAGAATGAAGGGGCCTCACACCTGGCCTCTCAGTCCCACTGCACTGGAATTTCTAAGTCAGTATTCCAGAGTTAGGGAGCACCCCAGCCCCCCTCTCCCCCCTAGCATCAGAGCCACATCCATTTCTGAGGCTTGGCAAAGGACAGTCTACATCCATTATTTCCGGGGCTCCCACACCCCAGGTAGAGTTAGATCCCGTGTCTTATAAAACCTCAGATCCAGAGAAGTAGCTTCCTCAAGGTATCATACCTGGCTAGTCAGTGGCAGAGACTGGGCTCTGTTTGCATACCTCCAGCTCCAGGGAGCTCACTTCCAGCTATGAAACCAGCTCTACTTGGGAGAGTTTTGGTGATGAGAACCTTTTTTCTGTCCTAGAACTTAACCCTTTCCCTTGTATAACCCAGGTTCCTGCCTCTACCCCAAGTCTCAGGAACTGACCTCTCATGCTCTCCAGCCTGAGAGGTTTAGGGCTGGAAATCAAGGCCTCTGCTGCGCGGCCTGGCAGCTTCCTGGCCTTCCCATCCTTCCGTATGCCTTATAGAGCCAACACTCAGAGGGAAGCCAGCCTGGGTGCTCTGGCACTCAAGCTGGCTCTGCGGTATCCCCCACCCCAGGCTGCTGAATGAGAGTGACAAGCGCCCCTTCATCGAGGAAGCTGAGCGGCTCCGGATGCAGCACAAGAAAGACCATCCGGACTACAAGTACCAGCCCCGGCGGCGGAAGAACGGAAAGGCGGCCCAGGGGGAGGCAGAGTGCCCAGGCGGGGAAGCTGAGCAAGGGGGGGCTGCTGCCATCCAGGCCCACTACAAGAGTGCCCATCTGGACCACCGGCACCCGGAAGAGGGCTCTCCCATATCAGATGGGAACCCAGAGCACGCTTCAGGTGAGTGCTGGGCTGGGGGAGGCTGGTTGGCCTGTGTCCCTGCCGCTCCCCAACAGCACTGGGCGCTGGGAAGGACTGGGCTACAAGAGCCCAGAGACAGCTCAGTGGGGCTCCAGGTCCTCCCAGGGTGGAGACGCGGTAGTGACGACATGGATGTGGCACTGCTGCTGGGGTCTCGGCTCCCTGGGGTGAGAGGTGGCCAGTGTAGTTACAAGGAAAACGGGCTTGAGGAGTAGGAGATCAAACAGAGGGGACAGACAGGGGCAGTGCCTCTTCCCACCTCCTGCTCTGACTGGGGACACCGTGGGGCTGAGCTGGTGCCGTGCAGCGGTCAGCCATGGCCATTCCTGTTTAATTCTCATGAATGACAATATGATCGGAGCACCTACTGTGTGCTGGGCACTGGGCCAAATGCCTTGTATGTACTACTACCACCTTCAGTTATCCAGTCAGCCCTACACAGTGGGAGTGGCATACCCAACAGTGGTGGCAGGTTACTGTCATCTTATGGATGAGGAAACAGAAGAGGAACTTGCCAGGAGAGGTCTGAGCCCATCAGTTGGGCTCCGGGGCCTTGCTCTGCTACCAGGCTGTATCTCTCATGTACAGAAGTGCCACATTTGGGTCTGGCATGTTGGGTCTGGCAGCTTTTACCAACTTGGGAGTCGGACAGTGGAGGAGACACCAGAAAGGGATCATAAGGCTACAGTCCCTGACTTCAGGAGCTCATACTCCAGGAAAGCAAGCGAATTGCACACAAGGACATGAGAAGCCCCTCTGAGAGCCATGGGTGCAGTCTCTAGGGAGAAGCCACCCACTCACCCATCCATCCAGCCAGGGCTCCAGAAATGCCCAATACCCATCAGCCTATAGTCAAGGAAGCCATGTCTGAGCTACCTGGTCTTGGCTCCTCTACTCAGAGGGAAACTGCTTAAGATGAGGGATTTGCTGAAAGTCACACATTAAGTGACAGCCAGGATTCAAACTGAGGCAGGTCTCCTGAAGTCCAGAGCCTTTGGCCTGGGAACACACAATCATACAATACACATCACACATGCACATATACACAAAACACATAATACATACATACACACACACACAGAGAATAGCTACCACAGAACAAAATGGTCAGCATGGACTTCTTTTTAGCCTTCAAGGCCAGTCCTCACCCCTCAGGAGGCCTCCCCAAACCACCAGGGCAGTAGGTAGCTTCCTGCTTGTTCTTCAGTCTCTCTTATCCCATCCTCACAGCACTCTCATCTGGGGGTGTCCCAGATCTCTCCCAGACCAGGAGATCTGGAACAGGGCCCTGTTTTACTCTTCATTTGTATCCTGGCACCTGGCACAGTAGCCCTGAGTGTTGCTAGCTAAGAAAGTGAACAGGGAACAGAGACCAGTGATCTCAGAATCCTCCTGAGCAAGGAGGGAAAGTGGGCCAGCAGGCAGCTCCACCCAGGGTGTCACAGAGCTGGGCAAGGCCAGTGGGACTGGATCACAGGCAGGGTAGGAAGGTCTGGGGTTCTGGGGGTAGGGGGCACAGCACTATTTGGGAACCCAGGCAGACACAAGTGAGGCAGTCACAAAAAGACAGGCAGTCCCAAGTGGAGAGGGTGTATGAGTTCCAGCGGTAGAGAAGCCAGCAGAAGCCCAGGGTGCCTTGGGGAGCAGCAGGGTACAGGCAACCACATGGGGTAGGCCACCCAGGAGCAACAGGAGCAGAGAGGACAGAGCAGCAGGAGAACCAACTGTAGCCACATGAAGAACCTGCAACGAGAGACTCTGCACAGGGAAGCAGCAGCCCTCTCCATGTGGGGGTGGGTGGGCTGCAGGGGTCGAGGAGGAAGACCCAAACCCTGAGGTTGGAGAACATTCTCAACAACTGGACTCCAGCTGGTAGAAAAACAAATGCTGGTGTGTCAACAAAATACAGAACAGAAGGCTGCCAAAAACTAGGCCATGCCATGTGGCCCCGCTTAGGCCCACCTGTCTCTGACCTGCTCCCTGCCTTGTTCTCTCCTTTTCATCCAGGCCAGAGCCATGGCCCGCCTACCCCTCCAACCACCCCAAAGACAGAGCTGCAGTCGGGCAAGGCAGACCCCAAGAGGGATGGGCGCTCCCTGGGGGAGGGCGGGAAGCCTCACATCGACTTCGGCAATGTGGACATCGGTGAGATCAGCCACGAGGTAATGTCCAACATGGAGACCTTTGATGTGGCTGAGCTGGACCAATACCTGCCACCCAACGGGCACCCAAGCCACGTGGGTAGCTACTCGGCAGCTGGCTATGGGTTGGGCAGCGCCCTGGCCGTGGCCAGTGGACACTCTGCCTGGATCTCCAAGCCACCGGGTGTGGCTCTGCCCACGGTCTCGCCCCCTGGTGTGGATGCCAAAGCCCAGGTGAAGACAGAGACCACTGGCCCCCAGGGCCCCCCGCACTACACCGACCAGCCATCCACCTCGCAGATCGCCTACACCTCCCTCAGTCTGCCCCACTATGGCTCGGCATTCCCCTCCATCTCCCGCCCCCAGTTTGATTACTCTGACCATCAACCCTCAGGACCCTATTATGGCCATTCAGGCCAGGCTTCTGGCCTCTACTCGGCCTTCTCCTACATGGGGCCCTCTCAGCGGCCCCTCTACACGGCCATCTCTGACCCCAGCCCCTCAGGGCCACAGTCCCACAGCCCCACACACTGGGAGCAGCCAGTATACACGACACTGTCCCGGCCTTAAAGGGGCCCTGTCTCCACCAGCCCCCTCCCAGCCCTCGAGGTCCCTCCCCGTAGCCCAGATGCCCTGCTCCTCACCCATCCCAGACCTGGTGGTAGTGGTGGAGGAGGCTGCAGAGGCTGACAGCGGAGGGACTCCTCTCTGCTGGCCCCTGCCCTGATGACCCACGGTCTCATCCCAGCCTGGCTGACAGCTAGGCAGAGGAAAGGGTCCCCCAGAAAGGACCCTCTACCCAGGACCCGAGAAGGACCACTTACACAAGTCTCCAGTGTTGCATGGACATCGCAGGCCTGTTTCCCATCATGGAAAGAGGTCCCTGTAACACCAGACTTGAGAGCCAAGGGACCTGAATCAGAGCCTGGAGCCAGCCCTGTCCCATCACTCGGGCTGAGTACAACTCTGAACAGCCTTGTGGAGAGTAGGGAGGCTCAGTGGGGGCTTTTGTACCTTCATTGCCTGACCCCTACTGAATGCAGGGAGGAATCGACACAGAGGCCCCAGGACGCAGGCCTCTATGGCATCAACCCCATCCTTTGTGAAATGGGGAGCCCCTAGCCATCCTCCACCACAACTTCCTAGACCTTGAGACCCACACCAGGCAGGAGGAGGCAGGGACTGCAGGAAAAGGGTTCAGAGACAATTCACAGAGCCTTCCTCCCCAGGCTCCTAGCCAGCTCCCTCTTCCCTCACTGGACGCTGTCAGCCCACCTGCCTGGACTCCAAGAGTCAGTACTGCACAGACCCAAGCCCTCGGCCCCAGGGGGAGACACAGGGCCCAGCACCCATGCTGGCAGCAGGCTGGACAGGAAAGTCCTGCTATGTACATTCTGCCCTTGCCTTTTTCCCTTTGCCTCTCAGTGGTATGTAGCTGTCACCTCTATTCTCCTGTTCTACCCCCTCACCCACAGTCCACGTGTAACGCATTGCTGTCCCCCTTTATTTATCTCCATAGCCCCCTTGCTGCCTTCTTTCCTAGCTACTATCCAGACCCTATTAACTCTGCATTAAGCATTTCAAGTAATAAAGGTTCCGGTTATCTGTGTGGTGGGCCTGAGCTGGCCTGTCTGTTGGTCTCTCGTCCCTGTCCCTGAATCTCCTCAAAGGGTACACCCAAACATCTCTCCCCCCTAAGGAATTGGTATGGTGGAGTATGTCAGGTCTGCCTGTCTGGGGGTGGGGGGGAACTAAACCTCAGAGGTTTAGTTAAGAGCACGGCTGGGCTGTTATCCAGCACAGCTGGCATTCACTACAACCCCTCTGCTCACCCAGCAGAGAGGACTCTACCAAAAAAAAAAAAAAAAATTAAAAGATCAGACATTTGAAAGGGAGCAAGTGGGTTGGAGTCTGACGGGGCAGCAGTCAGGCCTGGTCCCTTAGGACGTATGCAGGAGGGCTTCTTTTGCCACAACCCTCAAGCTGCAATATCCAGCACACACCAGTCAATAAATACCATCTTCGTAGCTGCAGCCTACACCTAAGCCTAAACCCAGGCTGCCAATCTGGACCTTCAGTGCTCTCCCTAGGAACTCTGCCCTCAGTGAGGGCTGAGGGCCCCTTACCTCATAACTACACCGCCCTGGAGACAGAAGTCTCTTCACCCTCTTATTCCACTGACAAGCGTCTGTAGGTCCTCACTGGGAGAGCCAGCAACTTTACTGTGTGCACCCTGGCCACAGATTCTTCCGAGGGTTCTGTCATTCAGGCCTTGGGGGGGTGGAGAGTGTCCCTGGCATCATCCCAGGTATTCTGATGGGGAGACTGGAGCTTAGGGAGGCTGAAGCTAGGAAGTGCTGGCACTCACTTCAGTGAAGCCAGCTCACCATCACCTCCTCCACCTGCCCAGGTCTGTGGGCTTCATTTCCCTTCAAATCTAGAGCTGTTAATCTGCTCCAAGCTCCTCCCTTCCCTGAGAGCCCTGGCCCCTGTCTCTCATCAGGACCCTGGGGAGGGTCAACACCAGTCCCCCACAGTGTGGCCAGAGGCTGTCCACCCAGAAGCCATGTCCCACAAGCTCTCTAGGACACCTCCCCAAACTGCTGGCCCCCCTGAAGCTCAGTGACTGAAACCCCACTACCAAATTATCTCTGCCAAGTCAGCCCACCTGGACCAGGTATTAAGCTAGTTCTAGTGTTTTGTAGATAAATGTGGGGTTCGTGGATTTCATTTTCCAACAAAGATTCTTTGTACCTAGGTCTCCTTTGAGAGCTTTATGAATCTGAAAACTTGAATCTTCTAAGTCACCAATAAAGGAAGAGGGGCAGGGCCTCTCGCACACCAAGAACTTCTCCAGGCCTCATCCTACATGCAAGCAAAGTGTCTAACTGGTTCTAAATTTCTCATCCCAAGTACACACTTCATCCACCACAGCCATGTAGACATTACCCAAGGCCTTGTGAAACTCAAGGTTCACGGATCTCTGGCATTCCCTAGACCTACCAGACTAGAAAGCAGAGAAAAGAAAGTGACTTGGCACTGATCTCAGAAACCCTATGCTAAACTGGATCCCCCACTGTATCTCAGGGGTCTCTGACACACAGCGCCAGTCTGGAATTGTCAGGGTCCATCAGAACTGCCCTGTATGCTCAGTCTTCACAACTCCCCCTTCCCTTCCCAAGGGGCCAGACACTTGTCCATCTCCCATTGGGGTACTGCTCTGGCATGCAGGGGTGCTGTGGATAAGGTTGAAGAAGCTGAAGCCACTGCCAGGACCTTGGACCTCATGAGACAGGGTAGGAAGTCACCAAGAGGTGGGAGGAGAGATGGTCCCAGGGGAGGACAAAACCCAGAAGTCAAAAGAGCAGGGCTGTAGGCTTCCCTCAGACCACTAGTTCCGGATGGATTTGGCTGCAGTAGTAGCTTCCCTGTTAGGAAAAGAGCCAGGTGTTTCTCGAACAACTGACAAAACTACATGTAAACCCTAACAGAACTCTGAGGATGGCAGGTGACTACACTCAAGGCAAGTCTAACCCAGACCTGATGGCTGAGTTACATGTGGCTCCCCAAAAGAGAATACCAAGGGCAAGGTGAGAGCAAAAACACCCTTTCCTCCCATTTCCTTACCCCTATCCCCTAAGGGTTAACCCCCTCCGCTCCCCTCAGCCCCCCCAACACTCCCCTTAATCACATCTGATACTGAGCAGCCCAGCAGGGAACAAAGAGGCCATTTAGAGAAATGGGGCCGAGAAAGTGACCCCCGCACTCTGGGGCGGCTGCCTGGATGCCGGCACAAAGGCGGCATTTCAGAGCTGAAATTTCAGCACCCAACTTGATTAAAGGATTCCACAGGCTGGAGGAGGGTGGCAGGGGTGCTAAGTCCACTGCTCCCTGAATTAACCCTTTTCCAGAGCAGCAAACACCCCTCCCACTCTTGTGGCCGCTCAGGCTCCCCACTCTGCCCAGTATCCCATCGCATCCTGGGGCCCTCCTCCTCCAAGGGAGTTGGAATGGGGGGCTGGCTGAAATACTGGGGAAGCCAATCTCCCCTTCTATCTCTGTTGGTGTCCTTACCCACTTTCTCCCTATCCAGGAAAAGGGAGGAGCCAATGTAATTGGTGCTCCCTGGGAGTCAGGGAGGGTGAGAAGAAGCCCATGGACCCTGAGGCAGGGAGAGGGAGCTCTGGCCCATCATCCCAGCACCCATCCTGTCTAGAGCAGAGATTCTCAGCACCCACAGCAGGGAAAGGGCATTTTACAGGAAAGGGTTGGGATGCAAAGGGCACAGGTGGCAGACCAGAGGTGGGCCATGGAGGGCAGTGTATGGAAGGGGCCTGAGGAGGACAGGGTAGGGACGAAGGTGGTCAGGTGGTCAGATGGGCAGGTGCTTGGTCCAGCTGCTGACTTGCCCGGCAGGGCTGTGCTTGGGGAGGGTGGGGGATCATGGCACCCCATGCTTCCTGCTGGGGCACTGCTCCTGAAAGGGGATCTGAGCCCTCGATAAGAGCTCCAGGCAGGTCCTTAGGAAACAATGGGTGGCTTGATGAGACCTGCTCTGTGATACTCCTGAGAAGGGAGAAGCCCCTGCAGCCAGTCCCCACTGGAAAGGAAATTGGGGGTTTCCGTGGCAACCAGCTCCCTGGGCACAAAGACTCTCTGTCTGCTGGGAAGGCAGCTGAGGTGTCTCCCCTGCAGCAGACTTTGCTGTGGTGTGTGGGGAGATGGAGGGAGGGATGTGGGGGATCCATGGGGCCAAGGGCCCCTGGTCGCAAAGATAGCCACAGAGCCACTGTGACAAGTGCATGCTCCAAGCAGCAAGGGAGGAACAGGGAGAAAGTGGCAGCATCAAAGAGAGCTGGAGGGGTAAAAACATTCATGGATTTATTATTTACACGTATAAAGCGAGCATAAAAATGGAGCCTGGGGCACAGTCGGAAAGACGCTCCTCCGGCTCAGTCCGTGATGATAAGCTCATCCACCCCCCAATCTTCATAGCTCCCATCTGGCAGGTAGCGGCGGATGATGATGGGGATCTTTCGGGCCCTGCGGCAGGACACAAGTCACAGGACGTGAGGGCTTCCGCAGAGGACCAGATGGTAGAAGTCCATGTCACATCAATGCCCTCCCTCTGACTGCCCTCTCCCCATTCCTCCCTTTCCTGGCAGACTGACAGGAACAAGTATCAACTTTCCCAGCCAAGGAGGTCCAACAGATGCCCGCCAGGATTCTGGGAGGGGAACCATGAATCGGGGACTTACTTGAGTTCCTTCATAGCAATGAGTAAAGGGTCTGTCTCCCCCTCCAGCTCCACCATCACAGGGGCACACATCCTGCAGAGACAGGGCAGGTTGGAGCCTGCAAACAGGGAGGGGCTGGCAGGCGGTGCGGTGGGTCTGGCATCCTGTTCTTCATCTAGTAAGGGTACCCTCTAGGCAGGCAAGAATGGAGGGGAAAATACAGGGCACTGCCAGAGACCTGCCCCAATGAACCTGGGAGCCAGCAGACTGGATTTAACTTGGACTTTCAAAGACTAGGCATTAGGTTCTCTCTAAATCTCAATATCCTCCTTTGAATGGGAAGAAAATCCCTGCCTCCCCTTGACAATGATGCCAAACTACTACTGTCAATAAGCAAAGGCTCACTGGGTACCAAGGCTGCTGTTGGCTTTTTTTTTTTTTTTTTTTGGGTCCGGTCGTGGGGCCTGAACTCTGGGCCTGGGCGCTGTCCCTCAGCTCTTCAGCTCAAGGCTAGCTCTCTACCACCTGAGCCACAGCGCCACTTCCAGCGTTTTTTTTCTTTTTGCTTATGCGGTACTGGGGAATTGAACCCAGGACCTCAGGCATACAAGGCAATGTTGGCTTTTTTTGTCAGTCATAGGGCTTGAACTCTGGGCTGTCCCTGTGCTCTTCAGCTCAAGGCAAGCGCTCTACCACCTGAGCCACAGTACCACTTCTGGTTTTCTGATGGTTAACTGGAGATAAGAGTCTCACGAACTTTCTTGCCTGGGCTGGCTTTGAACCACAATCCTCAGATCTCAGCTAGGATTACAGGAATGAGCCACTGGAGCCCAACTATTGTTGGCTCTTTACACTTAGCTCAGCTAAGGTAGGCTTTATTATTATTTGTTGTTGTTTTTGTACCAGAGTTTGAACTCAGGCCTCAAACTGCTTGAGCCATGCCTCCAGCCTGGTAAGTAGCATTTTGATAAGAAATGAAGGCCCAGAGAGGTTAGGCTTAGGAACACCTCCCATATAATATGGGACACCTTCCATATAATAATAAGCTAAGCTAACTAAAGATCTGTAAAGTTAACCTCCCAACCGCCCAGGCACTCCATTCCAACCTGACTCCATGAGCCCTGCACCAGTGCCCGGCCTGCTTCCCACCTTTTCCTTCTCTATCACAGCAATGCAGCCATCCAGGCTGCACTCTTCCAGCACCGTCCCCTCTGCAGCCTCCACGCTCAGCCTCTGCTCACAGTGTCCATCTGTTACAACCCCTTCCATGACTCTTCATGGCCACAACACCTGATGCCAGAGTGGGCCCCATTCACCTTTCTAGCACCTTTTCATGCCATTCATTTCCCTGTTTTAACTCACATTCAAGCTATGCCAAACTATTTATGGCTCCCAAGTGCTACAGTTTAGAAGTGTCCCCCAAACTCATATCAATGGTACTTGGAGGTGGGCCCCATGTGGCATTAGTGACTGGATAAGAAGAGGGACAGAGACACAAGCCAACATGCTGGCTCTGACTCAGCATGTGATGTTCTAGGTCGTGCACTGATGTAGCAAGGCCTGTGCCATGCTCCTGACTTCCAGCTCCAAGGTTCTGAGCTCACTGAACCATGCCAAATGAGCCAGTCTCAGAAAACAGACTAAGGCATGTGGGCATTCCAGGCTGCGTTCCTTGCTATGAGCCACTCTGGAGACCGCCTGCTGAGTGCTCAGCACCCTGACTCCATTTGCTGTGCTTCTTTGGCACCCATCTCATTGAACACTGAACACCATAGGCCATGAGCTCTTTCTTGGTGACCTCTGACCAGGACTACATGTGCTTCACTATGGAGCCTAGCACAACGCTTGGCACAGAGCAGCCTCCAAAGTCAAGAGGATGCCAGTTCCTGACCCATCCCCTATGAGAAGCCACCTTCATTAGAAAGCTGTGTTTACACTAATGGATCCAGAATTATTAGCAGACTGTGCTGAAAATACAGGTTCCAGGGTTCTGCTCTAGAATATTTAATGTCTCATGAAGAGACCTGAGACTCTATACTGGCACATCTGTCTAGGTGATTTTGATGATAAACCAGAATTATCTTTACTAATTTTATTGATTTTAAGGATCAACCTTTCTAACTTTATTGCTAAATAATTTCCTGGTTTCTGTTACTCTTGAAAGTGTAGGAATTTCTCAGAGGTAGAAATCATGTATTTTGGGGCTGGGAAGGTGGCTCAGTGGTAAAGCGCTTCCCTTGCATGCCTGAGGCCCTGGGTTTGATTCCTCAGCACCACATAAGCAAAAAGAAAAAAGCCGGAAGTGGTGCTGTGGCTCAAGTGGTAGAGCGCTAGCCTTGAGCTAAAAAGCTAAGGGACAGCGCCCAGGCCCAGAGTTCAGGCACCACGACTGACAAAAAAAAAGACAGAAGATCTTTGAGGCCAGACTGGGCAAAAAGTGAGATTCTATCTTAAAAACAAAGCAGAAGCCAGTGCTGGTGGCTTATGCCTATAATGCTAGCTTCTCAGGAGGTTGAGATCTAAAGAATCATGGTTCAGAGCCAGCCCAGAAAGAAAAGTCTGAGGCTCCATCTGCAAACACCCAGCAAAATGCTGGGTTAGAGGTGTGGATCAAGTGGTAGAGCATTAGCTATGAGCAAGCTCAGCATGGGCAAGCAGGCTGAGGGAGCGCATGAGACCCTGAGTTCCAACTGGGTGCTGTTGCAAAACCAATAAAAAGCCATCCTGGTAGCATGTGCCTTTGGTCCCAGGTACTCAGGAGGCATAGGGAGAAAGACTGCAGTTTGACAAGACCCAGCCGGGCGCTGGTGACTCATGCCTATACTTCTAGCTACTCAAGAAGCTGAGATCTGAGGTTTGTGGTTCAAAGCCATCCCCAGCAGAAAACCTCATGAGACTCTTACCTACAATAAACTACCAAAAAATTCAGACGCAGAGTTGTGGCTCACATGAGCTAAAGAGCTCAGAAATAGCACCCAAGTCCTAAGTTCAAGCCCCAGGACTGGCACCAAAAAAAAAAGGAAAAAGGGAGGGAGGGAAAAAAGGAGGGAGGGAGGGAAGGGGAAAAGAGAAGAGTTTAAGACTGGGTTTGATACTGTTAAAAAAAAAGAAAAGAAAAGAAAAAAAGAGGGCTGGGAAGGTGGCTCAGTGGTAGAGTGCTTGCCTCACATGCATGAGGCCCTGGGTTTGATTCCTCAGCACCACATAAACAGAAAAAAGTTGGAAGTGGCGCTGTGGCTCAAGTGGTAGAGTGCTCGCCTTGAGCTGAAGAGCTGAGGGACAGCGCCCAGGCCCAGAGTTCAGGCCCCATGACTGACCAAAAAAGAAAAAAAGAATAAGAAAAAAGAAATAAAAGTCCCTAAAATATAAATCTTTAAAGAATGTGGCAAAATGCTACAGATAAGAGTGGGCACTCATTCACCCAGTACCTACCACACACATCTGATGTGCAAATTCTAAGAGCTGGCCCTTAGTGAATAACCACTTCATCCACCTAGTCAAAAGTGGAGATGGTGTGGGCCACCAGATGGTGCTAGTGAGCCAGATGGAAACTTCATTTGGCTTGTCTAAGTACACCTAAGTACACGGTAACAAGCCCAGTGGCAGGGTTGGGTTAAGATCCAGCCTGTCTGCATAGGCTTGAGGAGGAGGGCGTGGCAGCTCAAGATGGCATCCTATCCCTTAATAGGAAGGAGCACTACAGACTAGACTACACTGGATTATGCTTTGCTCCCCAAGGAAAAAGGGACACTTGCATTTGGGAGCAACCTGGATGTCAGCTTCATCAAAGAAATGTCAATATGAACCTGTCACTCTAGGTATGAGTGACATATTCTCCACTGTGTTCCAAGGGGTTCCGCCTAAGAGATCTGCTCAAGAATGAGAAAGAATAATGTTGTCTACTCATAAAAACCTTCATTGAGACAGACAGCTGATCACCTTCACTTCACAAGACTACAGGTAAAGGTCTATCTCAAAGGGGATATGCACAGATGGCAGGGGTACCAGAGCATGCAGGCTTCCTCATACCTGGCTCAGCTGTTCTTTGTAGCCCCCTCCCTGACTCCCCCTATTCCTTCTTTGAGCCACCCTCCTCCAGACACCCACACTAGATTATAAGAAGCTTTAGCAGGGACGCCTTTCCTCAGCCTCATGTGTCCCCATGAGGGACCTTCTACTGGAGTACCACTAGCCTTGCTGTCCCCTCCCTGTCCCCCTCACTCCTGCCCAGGTAACTGGGGAGAAAAGCAGGCATCTGCTTCTTCAAGAGTTCTGCTTGGGGGCTGGGAAGGTGGCTCAGTGGTAGAGTGCTTGCCTCGCATGCATGAGGCCCTGGGTTCAGTTCCTCAGCATCACATAAGCTGAAAAAGCTGGGGGTGGCACTGTGGCTCAAGTGGTAGAGTGCTAGCCTTGAGCTAAAGAGCTGAGGGACAGCGCCTAGGCCCAGAGTTCAGGCCCCAGGACTGATGGTGGGGGGCAGGGGGGGTGGTCTGCTTGCTCAAAGATGCATGCTGACAGAGGTCTGGACTGTTTTCCACGATGCCCACCACTGAGGAGGAGGGACCTGCAGGCTGTACTGCCTGCCTGTGCTAACTGGGTGACAGCCTGATCCCATCTGTCCACTGATTCTTCCTGAAGCTTGCTCTTCTAAAATTGAGAGAATGGGCTGGGAAGGTGGCTCAGTGGTAGAGAGCTTGCTTTGCATGCCTGAGGCTCTGGGTTCGATTCATCAGCACCACATAAGCAAAAAGGAAAAAAAAGAAAAAAAAATAAAATTGAGAGAAAAGGAAGGCTGCTCATTCCGCAGCTCCAGAAGCCTACCACTACACAGGGCTTTCCCAAGTGAGGAACCTCTGCTGCACTGGCCCTTGTCTCCCTTGTGCTGAGAAGCACTTAAGCCTGCTGGGGTTGCCTCAGCCCTCCCTAACAGCTCACAGTCTAGGGCTTTCTGAATTTACTTGTTTTGCTTCCAACCTGACCGATAGCAGTTCTGCCTAGAATTGTTATTTTTCTTCTCTACTGTTATTTGACTTCGTATATGCTATTTCTGCTGTGAACTCACAGGTTCCCCATGAGCCAGGATTCAGCACAATGCCTGGCAGAGCTCTGCTCAGACAGGAAGAGCTGGATTTCAGGTCTAGGCTGGGCAGGACCAGCAGCTCAGGGGCTCTCTGTGGCCTGACAGAGGTAAACACTCACGCGATCTGGAGTGCTCGGGTGCCCAGCACACGGGCTCGCTCATACTTGGTCATGTACGGGGTGGTGATTCGCTTCTGGTTGGCCTGTGGTCGCTCTCCAGAAGGGAGGATCTCCACATTCTCCTGACCCTCCTGGATATCAAGACAAAAACAAGAAAATTTCAGGTTATCTATTTTGGGTGAGGGGAGGTTGACAAAGACAGAGAAAAGCATCACTGCTGTTAATGCTTACTGCATGCCTAGGAAAAGTTCATGAGACCTCATCTCTACCAACAGCTGGGCACAGTGACAGCACGCTTGACGGCAAGGTGGCGCAAGCTAGATACCTGGGAGATGGAGATTGGCGAATCCTAGTTCAAGGACAGTCCAGACAAAATTTAGGAGGCTCCATCTCAACCAATGGTTGGATGTGGTGGTACCCACCTTTCATCCCACCTATTCTGGGAAACATAAATAGGAAGGTCACAGTACAGGCCAATCCAGGCACAAAGCTAGGCCCTATCTCAAAAATACCCAATGCAAAGAGAGCTGACAAAGTGGCTCAAGCAGTAAAACACCTAAGTAGAAAGTTTAACAATCCTGAGTTCAAACCCCAGTTTGTCAGAGGGGAAAAAATTCCTGCCTGACCCAGGCCCTGATTATTTCTAAGCTTTAGCAAGCTATTCTCCCTGCACTCATCCCCAAAGAAATGTACCAGGCAGGTTTTTTTGTTTTTTTTTTTGTCGGTCGTGGGGCTTGAACTCTGGGCCTGGGCACTGTCCCTCAGCTCTTCAGCTCAAGGCGAGCACTCTACCACTTGAGCTACAGCGCCACTTCCGGTTTTCTGGTGGTTTTTTATTGGAGATAGGAGTCTCACAGTCTCTCCTGCCCGGGCTGGCTTTGAACCACGATCCTCAGATCTCAGCCTCCTGAGTAGCTAGGATTACAGGCGTGAGCCACCAGCGCCCGGCTCCAGGCAGGTTTTAACACTGAGCACATTTGCTGAAAGAATAAAGGTGATATGGGGCTAGGAAGGTGGCTCAATGGTAGAGTGCTTGCCTTGCATGCATGAGGCCCTGCATTCCATTCCTCAGCACCACATAAGCAGAAAAAGCCAGAAGGGGTGCTGTGGCTCAAGTGGTAGAGTGCTAGCCTTGAGCTGAAGAGCTAAGGGACAGCACCTAGGCCCAGAGTTCAGGCCCCACAACCGACCCCCCCCAAAAAAAATTGTTATGATATGGGGCTAGGAAGGTGGCTCAATGGTAGAGTGCTTGCCTTGCATGCATGAGGCCCTGCATTCCATTCCTCAGCACCACATAAGCAGAAAAAGCCAGAAGGGGTGCTGTGGCTCAAGTGGTAGAGTGCTAGCCTTGAGCTGAAGAGCTAAGGGACAGCACCTAGGCCCAGAGTTCAGGCCCCACTACCAACAAAAAAGAATAAAGGTGATGTTTTATCTTAAAAAAAAAAAATAACACAATTGCCCCAGAAGTCATGGGCTGTGGACCAAGTGAATTAATGGCACATCCTGCAGGGCTGTCAGGACTGGAACACTACTCACTTCTACTGGGATGCTATGTCAGGGTCTAGGAACACAAACTAGAGTGAAAAACATATGGGTAATAATCACCTAGCTCATACTCAGCAGCTAGGCTGCAGAGGTAGGAAGAAGCCTACAACTAAATACTGACCTCCTCAGCATTCTCCAAGTCATCTAGCCCTTCATCCTCTTCAACGTCATCAAAGTCATCACCATCAAAGCTATACAGAAAAAGATGGGATGGTTAGTCACAGATCACTTTCCAGAATCAAGAGACAGAAATCTGACTCAGATGTAAGGAGGCACTAGAACTCAGTAAACCTGTACTTAAGGAGTGACTCAACCTTTGCCTTCATTTTACTCCTTCAAACTTACCCCAACTGCCCTCCAATTTTGCTAGAATTTGTCTATCATTACTACTTCATATTGAATTATTCCAGTCTGCATTTAAGCATGCAGTTCTTCTGCCATCTTTTTCTCCTTTTTTTGTAATGCCTAGTGCAAGTGCTCTATCAATTAAACAACATCTTCAGACATTTTTTTTTTTTTGTTATTGTTGCTGGTCATAGTGCTTGAACTCAGGGTCTGGGTGCTGTCTCTGACCTTTATTTTTCAAGGCTAGCACTAGACCACTTTGAGCCACAGCACCACTTCTGGTTCTCTGGTGATTAAGTGGAGATAGTCTTATGGCCTTTTCTGCCTGGGCTGGCTGCTGGCTGTGATCCACAATCCTCAAATCTCAGCCTCCTGAGTAGCTAGGATTATAGGCATGAGCCGCCAGCACCCATCTTAGTTTTGGTTTTGAGATCTTTTTTTTAGCTTTGAATTCATGACCCTCTAGCCTCAGCCTCCACCACTTTGACTGGATTACAGATGTAGGAGGATCCTGATTTAGTTACACAGTGACATCTTGTCTCAAAAAACAAAAATCTTCAGGGCTGGAAGTGTGGCTCAGTGGTAAAGCAAATGCTTAGTATGTGTGAGGCCCTGGGTTCAATCTCCAGCACCACAACTCCAAACAACCTTCTCCCATAATACTAACTCTGTGTTCCCTCTGGAGTAAAATCTGTGAAGCTTTCCAACTTCACTATGTCCAATTCCTCTCTTCCCAATCAGTCACAATCTCACAAGACTGCACCCTCCATCAAAACCACTCGTGAAGTTAATGATCTCCATCCACACAGTTTCTTAATCCTAATATATTTATGCTGATGACTCCCCAATTTTTTTTGGGGGGTCCGGTCATGGGACCTGAACTCTGGGCCTAGGCGCTGTCCCTCAGCTCTTCAGCTCAAGGCTAGCACTCTACCACTTGAGCCATAATGCCACTTCCAGCTCTTTTTTCTGCTTATGTGGTGCTGAGGAATCGAACCCAGGGCCTCAGGCATGCAAAGCAAGCGCTCTACCACTGAGCCAACTTCCCAGCCCATGACTCCCAAATTTTTATCTTCAGACCACAGAGGTACAATCCCTGAAAAAAATATTTTCAAGGGATTAAGGGAATAAAATAGTGGAGGAGGTAGTTGGTCAATGTACATTATGAAATATCTATGCAATTAGCACACTAAAGACTCCTTGTACTATTAATGTACACTCATAAATATAGATAAATACAAGGGAGGGGAATCCTTTTGTAAATGGTACATGCCTGTCATCTCAGTATTCCTGGTGAGGATGAGGCTAGGAAATTCAGAATTCCAGGCCAGCTTGGGCTATATATAGCTCCTAAAAATAGGAAAGAGCCCTCTATACAATACCTTAAAAATAACAAAATTATATTTAAAAAAAATACACCAACAAGAAAAAGACTCAAGTGGTAGAGTGCTTGCTGCTTGCCTCGTAGGTTGGAAACCTGGGTCCAAACAGAAGAGGAGTAGGAAAAAGAGGAAGTAGAAGAAATGAAAGGAGTGGGGCACGGGAGCTGGTGGCTCACGCCTGTAATCCTAGTTACTTAGGAGACTGAGAGGTGAGGATCACAGTTCAAAGCCAGCTGAGGAAGGAAAATCTGTAAGACTTTTTTTTTTTTT